GCATCAGACCAGACCAAAGAGTAGGTAGCCGGTTGCCTCAGGTGGCATCGCGGCGGGTCACAAGGGGGGGGGGGTGGCAGGCAGAGCGGCATGGCAAAATGTGCTGGACGGCCAGCCCGTCCAGCTTTTAGCAACCTGGCAACCAGTAACGTCACCAGTCTCAATCTACCCTCCCTTATTGCGTGCCCCACCAGCATACAACCGCCCCCCAAACCGGTGTCAAAAAGGCTAGGAACGCTCCTGCTTCTCAGTTGTCAAAAGCTCTCTTCCACTTTCAGGCAGCTGGGCCTCCATGACACAGGTCAGGTCCGCAATCCAGCCACTATGTGTCCCTGCTCCTGCAACCTCCCAGGATACATGATGGGGATATTCCAGAAAGCAGCAGGAGCAAGGATATGTCATTCCCACCTAGGCGAGAATGGTGGCAGGTCTGGAGTAAAAATATAACCAAATTAAAAATAAACCCTTATTAACTATACGGGGGTGTTTGTTACACGGGTTCAGAGAGGCAAAGTTATTTAGGCCCCTTTCACATAGTCTTACCATGAGTCCATTTTTGAACCATGACGAGACGGATCAAACACGCTCTGCAATACATCCCTATGGGCAGCCGGATGTAATTGGATGTGCGCCCACCTATATCCATCCACTTCTGGGTTCCTTCAGGTATTCAAAAAGTTTGCGTCCAGGTCTGCTTTGACTGACCTGACTGCATGTGGGCAGATATAGGAGAAACATGTCCATTTACATCAGATTACACGGGCCAGTTTTTCATACATCCCGAGATGGAGGACGAATCGGAACGGACACGGATGTCGTATATGTCCAACTCAGCAGGGATCCATCTAGGATGGACGGTGGACTGCAGGTCCATCCATGTTATAAAGGTTGATGAACTCTGCATTAGACCCTACACTCATCCTATATTCAATGCACTGCCCTCTCCATGACTTGTATACAAACTCCTTCTAACTGTGCTCACTGTCATCGCCTCTCTTACCTGGAATCGAACTTGGTGCCATCCGGGAACAAGCCATGGTAGTGATAACGAACGAAGTCTCCCTCCTTGACGCTGCGGGGGCACAGCTCGGGCACATAGCTCTTCTCTATGGTCAGCTGCTCCGCTGGCACCGGCGGGGCGTCGTTGCAAGTCACGAAACTGACTAGAAATACGGCCTGGAGGAGAAGCACCGACCACCGGGTGACTGGCATTCTGAACAGGGCAGGCAGCGAGCTCTTCCTAGTTCTCATTGCACAGCGGTCCCTCCAGGAAGAGGGGAGAGCAGGACTGAGGGGTGTAGAGCTGGGAGGAGGGGGAGGGACCAGTACTCTCCGCCACTTGGCGACTGAAGAATGTGAAGGGTCCTGAGTGCGGTGACCCGCTACACCTACTGCAAGCATGCACATAGAGCCCGGGGCCACTGTACAGACATGCACGGGCAGGAGTGGGACTCCGGCTCCGCTACAGCCTCTGGCAGAAAATGACTTATATGGGGGCCATTATCCACCCTATTATACATATATAACTACATGTAATGTAAATAACTTTATTTATTCGTCGCACCATTCATAGCAGTACAGCAGTCGCTACACACATAATATATGTAAACGTGGACTCTGAGGCCCCGCCCTCTCACAGAAGACCCCTGAGAGGGGTGAGACCCGGTGATGTGTCGAAAGTGCGAACTTATCGAGTTGTGGGACCGCATGACTTCCGGTTTCCTCAGAACTACGATGTTTGCACACAAAACATGTTGTGCACGAGCGCCATCCACGGCATTGCCCTATACACATAGACCGCAGCAATAAAGTAATAAAATGATGTAGGATGACAGTAAGCCAGCACGTTCTTTATCTCCGGTGCCCCACTCAATATGGCCGCCGCTTGAGTGTGGCACCTGAGATAAAGAACGCGCTGGCTTAGTGTCATCCTACATCATTTTATTACTTTATTGCTGTGGTCTATGTCTATAGGGCAATGCCGTGGATGGCGCTCGTGCACAACATGTTTTGTCTAAAAACCTCGTAGTTGTGAGGAAACCGGAAGTAATGCGGTCCCACAACTCGATAAGTTCGTAGTTTTGATCGATCACCGGCTGGCTGGGAAAGGGGTGGGGCTTCGTAAACATCGTTCTCCCGGGTGCAGGAATGTGGGATTTCTATGTTTATAAAGCGGGAATTTTATACTCGGCCGGCGGCACAAAGAACGCGGAGAAAGTTTAGTTGGGGACAGTTATGTGTGTGTGGAGAAGTAGGAGCGGAGGATTAGGCCGGCACCTCTGCTCATCATTACCTCTCATACGTGGCTGATGTGTTGGCAGGGATTCCACAGTGTAACATCGGGGAGGGGGGAGACATGACCGTGCCAGCCTTTCCCTCACACGCTCTCATTGGCTGCACGGTTTGTGTCTATGGGGCGGCCAGATTTGACTAGACTCAGACTCTGTTAGAGTACAAGGCGGGTCTGCACGGCCTCATTCCAGGCTTATCCAGTGTCCCTGTCCTCCTCAGTTGTCCCTATGATGTACAGATAATATCTATGAGAAGGTTCCATGAAAAGTGTTACTCTGCACCAACACCTGTATCTCATCTCCTTATCGTGTTTGCTAATATAAAGGAAAAGTAATGGTGAAAAGAAACAATTTGGAGTTAACCCAATAAATTCTTATTGGTCTGCAGAACTGGGGTGTGTCCATTGCCTACATACATTCGACTGGAGCAGTTGTGCAGTGCAACCAATCAGCTTCTATCTTTTATTCTCAAAGCTTAAGAAGAACTCCAGGGCAATGTTTTATTAACCCTTGCCTACCCTACACTACAAGGGCTATGTGCTCATTTCGGTCTAGGGTAGATGATAACAATGTTACACTCACCTGATCCTCAGAGACGGTTTGCTATTATACCGCCCCCTGGAGCCTCTCTCCCCCTCCACTGCAGCAGTCTCAGCTGCGTGAGCATTACGTATATAGGGCATGAGGACGCCAAGGGACAGACCATCAGTGCTGTGGAGGAGGCAGGCTTCAGGGAGCATTGTAACAGCCAACCAACTCTGAGGATTGGGTGAGTATAACTTTGTTCTTTTCCTCTCCAGACCAAAACAAGCAGTTAACCCTTGCGGTGAGGGGGTAGCCCCACTGCAAGGGTTAGTAGCAATTTCCCTGCAGCTCTGCTTTAAAGTGATATTAAAGTCAAAAGGTTGTTTAAGCTATTTCGAATGCTGATGAAATCACTTAGAAAAGATGATGCTCCTTAATTTTTAAAAGTTTTAGTTCTTGCAGAATCAGTTGGTCTCCTGAGCACTGGGTCTGATATCTTGTTTTAGGCTGGCTCCTTTCCCTTACAGGGTCCTATGTAGTCAGCTTTGTGTGTCTCGAACAAACACACAGGCACACCAAGGCAATTCCCTTTCCCTGCTCCTCTCTCCTTCATCTAAGCTAGTAGATGGGCAACTACTGGAGACCGTGCGCTACCTTGTGATCTTGTACTGGACAGGAAGTTCAGGGAAGCCAAGCTGAGAGAGTTGGAGCTGTTTGGAAGCTCTTTGGATGACTGTGACCCCATTCACAATGAGTTACAACAGAATAAGCGCACATTTTGACGCGCTACGTAGCGCTTCTTTTGGCATTTTACCACAGGGACTTTGTAGCTGCTACATTGGGCTGTATCCAATCAAAAACGGTCTTTGATGCAACATAATTCCTCTTCCTGCTTCTGTGGAGACTAGTTTCTGGGCAAAAGTGAAACTTGTGTAGTGCGACCTCGTGCCACAATGTCGTGCAAAAACGCCGGTAATGAACGACATTGAGCTACACCATTGAAGTCTATTGGAGCCAAGAAGTGCAAAATCCGCCAAATAATAGCTCATGTTCGAGCGACAAGCTACAGGCGACACTGAGCTTCAAGATGTGAACATCTCAATTGAAATGCATTGGAAGAGCCACATTGAACTTCATATTTGAGCGATTTTTGAGCAGAAAACGCTCAACTGAACAAGCTGAAGATAGAAGCTGCATAGTTACTGTGCACAACTGTTCCAGATTCTGTTTACTTCAGTTTTAACCCCTTCATGACCTGCATCGAGGCAAAAGCCGCCGGGACTCTGTTTAAACTTGTAATGCCGACTGTCGGCTTTACAGTAGAAGCGATTCTGGCGGCTCAGCTGCCACCAGATCGCTTCTGCGGGCCGGTGAACAGGTCAAAACACCCCCGTTCTGTTTCCCGGGTTGCCCCTCCTACGGGCCCGGGACCTGCTTCTTTGGTGTCGTGGGAAGCTGGAAAGGAGGTGGGCGAACCTCCGTTCGCCGATCCCCTCCCCGTTCTATGGGACCGGGAGCAATGCAGATTGCATCACTTCCGGTCCCATAGCTGTCAGTGCTGGGCGTCTGAAGCCCAGCTATAAGCTATTGAAGTGCGATCTGTCCTTCAATAGCTTACTTAGAGTGTAAAGGTGACACTGGGGGTCTTTTGAGCCCCAGCATCACCTTAAAGAGTACCTTTCACCACCATCTGCTATCACATGGGGGGTTTGTAAGCCCCACTATGTGATAGCAAATAAAGTAAAGAAAATAACAGTTTTTACAATTAACATTAAATAAAATAAATGTAAAAATCATTTAACATTTTATTTAAAGTCCCCCGCGAGCACGCGCGTCTTCACGTAAACGCGCATTGGGTGCGCCTGCGTATGAAAGCGATGAATGCGTTACACATGTTGGGTATCGCCACACACGCCGGAGTGAGAGCAATAATTCTAGGGCCAGTATTTTTGGGTATCTCTAAACTGATGACCTGTGGGGGCTTTTAAAGCATCGTCTATGGACATTTTGGAGTACTGAATTTTGTCGCTGTTTCACTGACGCGCACAATATTTAACCTGGGCATGTTGGGTATCTATTTACTCGTTGCAACCTCATCTTTTATATTTTATTTTACAAAATGGGTATTTTATTGTGTTTTGGGGCATCTAAGTGCATGTTTCACTAAATGTTTTGGTTTGATAAGGAGTTGCGCTAATATCGTGCAACAAAAACATTTGCAACTGCCCCCATTTTATTCTATAGGATCTTGGCTTTCAGAGAATATATAATGTCTGGGGGTTTCAAGTAAATTTCAGGCCTAAAAAGTGGAATATAACATGGGTGCAAAAAAAGTTTTCTTGAACTAACACAATTCTAACGTGCGGTTTTCATTCAGTAAACTCCATTTGTTTCCAGAACTGAATGTTCAAATGCAAAAAAATTTCTAATGACATCCATCAAGCAGCATTATCAAATGTTCTCACGTTGGCATGAACGTTCATATGAAAAGCTAGCAGTGTATTTATACTGTGGATGGGGGTATCCCCCCCGCCTCTTCCCACTGGGCTACTGTATTCTGATAGCACCGGTTGTGCCCCTGTCAGAATACCCAAACAGTGACTGCAGCCACCAGTGTATGGCCAGCTTTATGCAGTGCGTTCTGGCCGGAATACACTGCCTCGCATTGCGGGCGGCTCACTTTTTCGCCGGGCTGGAGGGGTCAAAATAGTGCTTGCAGCATTTTGATCGCACCGGACTGCAGGCACAATGTGCCTTGCGATCCCGTGCGGGCGATCGCATTGCGGCCGGAGGCTTGGCTACGGTGCCATTCACTTCAATGGCCCGCCACGCCCCCCTCCAGCCCGGCAAAAAAGTGAGCCGGCCGCAATGCGAGGCAGTGCGCTCCAGCCGGAACGCACTGCATATGGTGTGAACGAGGCCTTACAGCAGTTCAATGCTCAAGTATCCTGACAGTGGCGAGTCCGCCACTATCAGAATAGAAAAGACACATCAGGAGATTCATCTTTCAATGCTGTTCACTCTGAAACTTTACCCACTGATGTCTTACCGGAAAGGTTTACTCAGAGTAAACCTTTCAGGGAGAAAATGCCTCTCTCGTGGACGTCAGGGAGCCGCTATCTAATAGAGGGAGACTCCCTGAACATCAGGGAGACTTGAGATCCCTGGATTAGCATGAATGGAGGAGTCTATTATATTTCTTGTAATGTAATAGTGTATGGCCGACTTAAGTGTATAGCCGGCTTTACTCTCTGTTGGCTGCATGTTGGATCTGAAGCAGTGAGGCTAAAGATGATATTTGGCAGTGAGGATCAAGATGATCATTGCCCAATCTGGCTGATATTGGATGATGTGTGCAGCAACAAAAACCAAACAGGTTTCACAGGAGAAAGTAGTGTAACTGCATGAGCCACTGAGAAAACCTTTCTCAAATGCTCTTGATTCCCCCTGTTTATAAGCTAAGACTAAAACCTCATCCAGCATTTCTGCAGTAGACCTTTCAACCGCCTACCTGTAGGCAGAAACACAATTGCTAAGCCAAGAGTTCCTGTTTATGCACACAGA